CACAGCCTGGATCAGTCAGCTGCTGCTAGCACCACGGCCAGCTGCTGTTCACCACCATCAGCTGTTTCTGAACATGACTTCTCCCGAAACCTGTCCCGAACCTGTCCGTCCAAGTGCCAGGAGGTCATCATAGTGTTTGCTTAAGGACCTGAAGTTGTATTAAGTACTGATAGAACCTTTTACATTGTTTAGGATAGTGCTGGGCTCGTGATGCTGTGTAGTAAAGGCAGATACATTCCAATAGGTATTGAACTGTGTGTCAGATTATGGAGTTAGACCAGGGTCAACGTGATCAATCATCTCTAGGTTTAATTATGGTTATTTTATTCCTTGAGTTGTGTGTTTGAATTTTTATTAATGATATCTGTAGTGGTGAAGTTTGACAATATTAACTAAGCATTTGGTCATGTAAGAGTAAGTCACTAATACACTAATGAAGTTGGTGTTGTCTATGTGTTGTGCAGGAATGAGCTAAAGTTTACAACTAGGTATAAACTAATAATATATAATACAAATTAAAAAAAATAGCACGAAGACTCTCACATGTGATTGCACGAAGGTCTAATAATGACTTTGGTATAGTCTATGTATTGAGCTAGAATGACTATAGTACAACTTAGGTTTAATCTAATAATATAAAAATACAAATTAAAAATAGCACCAGGCTCTCACTAGTAATTACACTATGGTCCAATATAATGACTTTGGTACTGACTATGTATTGAGCTAGAATGAGCTATAGTACAACTGAGTTTAATCTAATGATATGAAAAAGGCACAAGACTCTCAGTTGTAATTGCACTAAGGTCTTATATAAGTTGTTTACAAGAATTAGAGTATAACTAGATTTAAAAAAACAGTAATATCATCACACTTACCTTTATTGAAGACTCTTGTTGGTGTATGGAACATAAAAAAGCAGGAACACTGCAGCAGACCTGTTGGCCCATACTAGGCAGGCCCTTCACAAACCATCCCACTAACAAAATGTGTCTAACCCCATTTTCAATGCTGCCCAAGCAATAAGCACCCTTCTGGCAAGACAGTGATGGAGTGAATGATGGTGAAAGTTTTTCTTTTTCGGGCCACCCTGCCTTGGTGGGAATCGGCCAGTGTGATAATAAAAAAAAATAAAAAAATTCTATTCACTGCATGTGCAAGTCCTACTGAAATCAAATTGTGCGGTGGGAATAGCCTGCTGATTTGTGTGGGGAGTACTCTGAGGTCCTCCGTCCTCTGACAATGCCCACACTGATCTCCTGAATGTGACCTTTTATGTACGCATGTTTGCTCCCGGCCGCAACAGACGCGTTTCTCATACGATGATGAAGTCATGAGGCAAATCAAACGAACCATGAGGCTTTATTTTGACAAAAGAAGTTGCTGCAAGGTGAAATTCACGAAGCGCGAGGCTCACGAAACTCAGAGATCCACTGTACACAATAACTTTAAAACACTTGAAATTTTGGAAAATTTCCAGATATAATAGAGAGATGTACTCACAGAGAATGTAAACAAACTGGGTGGGGCACGCTGTATTTGAAAGACCCCTTGCTGTATAACAAATTTTGGTCATAATTTGAAATCGCCCTATTAGTGGAGCGCCATAAGGCAAAATGCCTTTTTCTAATTATTTTCTACATGCTGTGCTTTATGTGAAGTATTCAAATTTCACTGGTGGTAATGATAAGGTAATATACATTGAATCTTGCAGCAGCTACTACAGTCCTTCAGCCTCTCACAAATCCAGAAGCCACAAATGCAATGAATTGCTGTTTGTTTAATAAATTTTATTTCTGATTTAGTTTCATTTTGTGTTGAGAGGCAATATATATTTAACCCTTTCAGGGTCCGTCCCGTAGATCAACGGCATTACGTTGAGTGTCCAAACCGTAGATCAACGCCAAAATTCTAGCGCCGTCAAATTTAGCGCGAAAACGCTCATAGGCCTACATGTGAGAGAACGGGTCTGCGTGGTGGGTGTGCGCCATAAACAAAAAATCTAGGCACCCTCATAGCCCATGGTGGGAATGTCCGGCTCAGTTACCCTTGTTCACCAAGCCTCTCGCAAGTCAGCTCTCACTCCCCCGGCAAATTGGCTCTCCTCTCCATCTGATAGTTCTGACAACTGATGACGGGGCTATGAAGACGAATCCTACGGCTTGATCAGTTAGTGACCGAAAAGAAATGACCAGGATATCATAATAGTGCAGAAAACCCTGACGATCCTCAACCCTTCTACCTCTGGTGGGGCACTCGAGACTCAACGGTCCTGGCATGTCCTCATCGCAAGAGAAAACTACTATTTTCGCGTTGCCGAGGCCTCTGATCATCAGTAATGATGAGAATGAAGTGATTGGACTGTGATTTTATTCGCTCGACGGTCATCGAGCAGAGAGTAGTGAGGAACATATCACCAGTGAAGCGTTGGATGTTCGCCGCCTGCATGCGCTCGGGTAGGGTACCATGCTGTGCCCAGGGGAACGGAAGTACATCCCGGAGTAACATCCCGGAGTACAATTCCTGGGAGTACAGCCCGGGGCCCAACACCAGTTTTAGGTAGTGATAGTGAGGATGATGTTGGCTACACTTGCATGGATAACCCCAGCCATCATGGATGGTTGTTAGGGTGATGGTAGTGGCACACCGCCATGCGTGACTCGTGAGCCACTCTGGACCCACGCTGCTGACTCCGTCAGTTCAAGGACAAAGCGGAGTGTCAGCCACCAGCCACCACAACCACACCATCCCGCGACAACCAGCCTATGATGTCCAGTATCCACCAGCAAACCGTATGGGGATGGCAGCAAAATCCCAATTTTGTTCTCAAGCCTCACCACTTTGATTGATTCTCACAGTGGAATTCTACCTACTGTTCCCCTTGGAACCACGGCCACTGAACTGAATTCTTGAATTATTTCTTTGACCAGCATCGATGGAAATTATTGTCAGGAAAGTAATAAGTATTTCCGTACACCATGGCAAATACATCTTATCACCAACAGACAGACTACACAGGTGAAAGAGGACGACCGTTGCAGAAATTGTTATTTGCTTTTGCAACAATATGCTTATGCCTCAACGACTATAACATAATTAAAAAGCATACTGGTCCACAGTCGGCTTAATTTCTACCCGGTCCTTCAGTGAAATCATACCAGTGAACAGGTTTATCTTACTCTTATGTATGTTCATGCACTTCTCTGACAAAACCAGAGCCTGACAGAATTGACAGGTATACAAGATTAGAAAGGTTTTCAATGTATCTCAAACAAAAGTTCAGCAATATACTTTTATCCATTCAAGAAATCCTTGTAATTGACGAGTCTTTGATTTGTACAAAGTAGACTGTCATTCAAGCAGTATATACCGAGCAAGAGGAAACGCTTGGTATAAACTGTTTGTATCTCTGTGATTGTGACAGTGGCCTGGTGTTTGGATATTGTTGTATATACGGGTAGTAAAGCATGAAAGATACCAAGATGTATTGGGTATCTCAGGTGACGTAGTGAGACACATGATGGCACCTTATAACTTGGTAAGGGGCATACATTATTACCGATAACTGGTACACAAGCCCATTACTCAGTGATTTCTATGCGAGTGAACAAGACAGAGGTGTGTGGCACAATGCGTTCTAATCGTAAAACATATCCCAGCTCAACGCAGGTGCTCGTGGTGATGACGTGCATGTGTTACTGCCAATGACATCATGCATTACGGTGCATACAAACGAGATGTCACATTGTTGACAACCTTTCACCGAATGAAATGCAAGACAGTGGGGCAAAGTGATCGAGTGCTAATGAACGTATTCGAAAACCAGTGGCAGTGATGATTATACAAACACAAAACATCGCTTGTTGACAATTGGTGACATGCCGATTGTTTAGTTGACGTGTATCGTAAGAGTTTACCAGTGGTACATGAAAACTTTTCTCCATCTCATGCCATTTCAATGCTCAATCATATAATATGTACCAAATAAAGACTGGCAACAACACAACCGTATGGTGAATTTTGTTTGTCTGTTGTCAGACAACTCATAATGAATACCAGGTAACAACACCTGCTATAAAACATGGTCCACGAATTCTCAGGATAAACCCAAGCGTTTGGAGGAGAGAAGTGATTCATTTCATAATACAGCATCCTTCAACTAAGAAGAAAATTTCTCAGAAGAGTGCACTGTCTGTGCACAAAACAAAACGACAGCACCAAAGACGCAAGAACTCTCGGTTTATGTGTGAGGAATGTAAGGTGCTCTGGGCTGGTGCCTTTTTCAAGGAGTGTCCACAAGCTCCAGCAGTTTTAAAACCAATGTCCCAGTGATTGTAATATGTAAATAATGAAGAACATAAGAATTAATACAAAATTGTGCATGTTTATTGTAATAAACAACAGGGGTAAAAAACAATTTTTTTTTCATTAAGAAAAAAAATAAAAATTAATAACTTTTAGGTGCAGTATATTGTGTTCCATAACAGTGAGTTTATATACAACATTATATAAGTAATGGTCTCTCAGGCCCAAATGTTAGTAGGACTAGAAAAAAAGTGGAAAAGAAAAGAAAAAACAACAAAACCACAAAATAATGTAATGCGCGTATGTGGAAATTCGTCGAGTTGCCGCACCAACATCATTTTTGACAAACTCTTGGCACTGTAGCTCGGTAGTACTGATCAGATTTTTTTTTGGTCTTATTACCTTCACAAATATAATCTCTTAATTCTGTAAACAAAATAATTTTTTTGTTTTTTTTTCAAAATTTCTTGGACACTGGAGCACCCACTTCAGATTTTGGCCTGGACCCTGAAAGGGTTTAAATATCTCACAGAGCTGTTGGCACTTTTTATTAATGATTGTGAGCTCCGCCAGTTCAAAATAATTTGCAAAAAATACATCAATATTTGAAATTCCTTCTTGCAATCCACGTTACAACGTTGAATAATTGAAAATCACAAATGAAAAGCAGACTACTATTATAATTTTTTTTCTAGCCAACATCATACTGGAAAATTGAGCTCGTTAAGTTCACAAGACCAGTGCATATTGTATTAGCACTGCATGGTTAGAGGTAGATGAACGAGTCACCTGCGCTGATGGTCAAGCAAATGAAAGTATTTACTTTTTGGATGGCCATTGCTTATGTCCTTGAAATTTCCAAATCCCCAATCTTGGAGACGAGACAGATATTGCAGTGGTGATATACCATTGTTTTTCAAAGTTCTCTACTCTATAATAATGTGTTGTAATCCTTATATTTATTTGATTATAATAATAGTGTAACACTTGCAAGAATGACATTGAAATGGTTGATACTGTAGAGATTAACACGTATATTATCAACCATAGATGTGTGGCAAAGTAAGTGAAGGAAAGTCTCAACTTATGTACTTCACTGTATTATCACCATAGAGAGTGGAAAAGTAAGTGAAGGAAAGTAGTCAACTGTTGTACTTCACTGTTATTATCACCATAGATGTGTGGAAAGTAAGTGAAGGAAAGTAGTCAACTGTGTAACTTCACTCTTTAGTCTTAACACTTTATTCATTTCTATTGCTTCATCATAATTTTGCATTTTATTACTCAGGAATGTCTTTGAACAGCTTCCAGTTTTCAATGTGTGACATATCTTAGGCAAAATTGTTGGGAATATTTGCATGTGTGAGAGTCACCTGTGTGATAGGTGGAGACAGTCTCCTATGTAAAGTGGAAACAATCTCCTGGTGTGATAGTGGAGACCAGTCTCTGTGATAGATAGGTGGGGAACAATCTCCTGATGTGATAGGAGGAGACAGTCACCTGATGTGATAGGTGGAGACAATCTCTGATTGAAGGTGGGACAATTCTCCTGATAGGATGAGGTGGCGACAATCTCCTGGTGTGATAGGTGGAGACAATCTCCCTGATGTGATAGGTGGGGGGGGGGGGGAGACAACTCTGATGTGATTAGGTTGGAGACAGTCCTCCTGGTGTGATAGGGAGACAATCTCCGATGTGATAGTGAAGCAGTCCTCCTGGTGTGATAGGGGAAGACATCTCCTGGTGTGTTAGGTGGAGACAATCTCCTGATGTGATAGTGGAAGACAATCTCCTGAGTGAAGGTGGAGACAGTCTCCGGTGTGATAGTGGAGACAAGCTTCCTGATGTAAAGGTGGAGACAGTCTCCTGTGTGATAGTGGAGACGTCTCCTTGGTGTGATAGTGGAGACAATCTCCGGTGGGTGGGATGAGGGGTGAGACAATCTCCCTGATATGATAAGGTGGCGCAGTCTCCTGGTGTTGTAGTGGATACAGTCTCCTCTGACCAGCTCAGTGTTTGTCCAATGTGGCTCGTGGCCTGGTTGCAGAAGCTCTCCGCTTCAACACAGTTAGGTGTGGGTTCAATCCCCTACCATAGGAAACCAATGGGCATGTTGACCTTACCCAGTTTGTCCATGTTCACCCATCAAAAATAATGGGTACCTGGTGTTTAGTCGACTGGTGTGGGTCGCACCCCAGGACAATATTGACCTAATATGCCAGATAACGCTCTGCAATAACAAGGGCTTTCTATATAGTATATGTCACTGAGTCAGCTAGGGCTATAACCTTGTACATGCACTAGTAGAAATGAAGACTTTCTTTCAACACAAACCGCCATATCCCACCGGGCGGGGGTGGCCCAAAGGAAAAACGAAAAATTTTCCTTTACATTAGTAATATATGCAGGAGAAGGAGGTTTACTAACCCTTGCTCCTGGCATTTTAGTCGCCTCTTACAACACGCATGGCTTTACGGGAGGAAGAATTCTGTTTCAACTCCCCATGGAGGTATAGAGGAAATAAACAAGAACAAGACACTAGAAAGAAAAAAGAAAAAACCCAGAGGGTGTGTATATAAATGTTTACTACATTATGTGTAGTGTGACCTAAGTGTAATAGAAGTAGCAAACGTACCTGAAATCTGCATGTTTATGAGACAGAAAAATAAGGACACCATCAATCCTACCATCATCGTAAAACGATTACAGGCTTTCGTTTTTACACTCACTTGGCAGGACGTAGTTACCACCTTGGGTGTTGCTGTCTACCAACCTACTACTTATGGAAACTAAAGATATTATTATTATTATTATTAATTATTATAATTAATATTATTATTATTATATTATTATTTATTTATTACTATAATGTTTATAAGGTTGTATACTTAACCTTTGAGGGGGGGGGGGGGGGGGGGGCCTACTAGTACGTCCTTACGTGTAGGGTGTTTGACGTACAATACTCATGAAACTAAGCGGCCTCAAATCTAGTGGGAGAAAACTGGTAGGGGCGGCCTTCATATGAAAGAATGGGTCTAAGTTGGTCAGGGTGCACAGTCTAAAAAAAATCCTGCAGCACACAGGCATAATGAGAAAAAAAAAACTTGAACCATTTCTTTTTAATAAATCAGCGACTTTGCAGTGTATTTTCATATGGTATTTATTGTGTATTCTAGTTTTCTTGGTCTCATATTTTATAGAATGGAAGACATATTACAGAAATTTGAGATGATTCTTGACTGTTTTACAATGAAAGGTGCCTTGAAATTGGAGCTCAAAGTAGCAGAAATGTTTCGATTTTAACCAAACTTCAAAAGTAAACAATCTTGCCAAGCGTTGCAATAAGGTACACGTCAACTGTGAGTCTAATATTCTTTCACAAGTGCACCAATAATATTTTATACGTACCATTTTTTACACTAATGCAGTAAGTCCTGCCTAACATAAATCTTAAATTTTTGTGAGAATAAAAATTCAAAGGTTGAAAAGCCAAGAATATAAGAGGGCCTTGAGGACGTGGACTATGGCTAGAGGAAATGTCATTTTATGCCAGAATGTTCCTTTCTTGTTTTATTCGGGACCCTGTTCGAATTGGCATCTTTGGAATTTGTGTGAAATTGGCAAAATGCTAAAGTTTCTGACCACTGTAATGGATAGTGAAATTTCATAAATGGTGGGTTCTTGCACCCATTCGATAGACCCAATGGAGTTTTCTAGCGAAATATTCATGTTTTTTGTCGACTAGTACAGTGAAATGGCGACAAAGGGGCTCAAATTGGGGCAAAATCGCCCGATGCGTAAACATCGCCTGAGACCGCTAACTTGCGAGATGCATAATTCTGTAAGTTTTCTATCAAATTGCAAACTTTGGTGTCTTTATGATTCGGAAAAAGATTCTCTATCATTTCATAAGAGAAAATATTTATTTATTTTTTTAAACTAGCCGACCCTGAGAACAGATTTCCGGAGAGAGCCTGTCGCCCCTCAAAGGGTTAATGGACATGTTTGATCCCATTTTTCCATGTTTAATCCTCCAAGTGGTGGCTGTTTCTTTTTTTCTGTCTCATAAACACGCTAGATTAACAGGGATCACTTGCTACTCCTACGTACACTTTAGTCACACTTTCCCAGAACACGCACATGCCATAAAAAATAAACATACATCTAGGTTTTCCTCCTTTTTCTAAATAGCTCTTGTTCTTCTTTATTTCTTCTTCTATTGTCCAGGGAAGTGGAAAGAATCTTCTCCGTAAGCCATGCGTGTCGTAGGAGGGCGACTAAAATGCCGGGGAGCAATGGGCTAGTAACCCCTTCTGTAGACATTTACAAAAAAAGAGAAGAAGAAAAACTTTATAAAACTGGGATGCTTTAAAATGTGCGTGATTAGTGGGGAGACAAGAATTAGATGATTGCTGAGTTATGAATGGAACAAGAAGTTGGATTCCTGGCCCAAAAGGCGAAAACAAAAGCTGAAGGGGGTAGGGAGTTTCAGTGGGGGAAATAATGGGATTAAAATCTGGAGTTCTGAGAAGTTAGAGCAAAGGAGGGGTAGCAGTATGTTGAATGATCAGTTTATGGAAGGAGAAAAGATGAATATGAATGTGTAATTCAAGAATTATGTGGAGTAAAGTAAAGGTTGGAGATGCGCGAAGTGGGTTCATAATAGTGTTATGCACCTGGAGATGAGAGAAAGCAGAGGAGAGAGAGAGATTGGAGATGTTAAGTGAATGTATAGGAGCCATTGAACCAAGTGAGAGAGTATATTATGGTAGGGACCTGAATGCTAAAGTAGAAAACTTTAGAGAGGGTGTGGTAGGTAAGTTTGGGTGCCCGTGTAAATGATAAGGCGTCCCCTTTGATTGAACTTTGTAAGAAAGGGGTTTAGTTATAGGTAATACATATTTAAGAAAAAAAGAGGATAAATAAGTTTTTCAAGATATGATGTAGGGCGAAATGACAGTAGTTTGTTGATTATGAATTGGTAGAATAAAAACCTGTTCATAACTTCAGGATGTACATGTTTATAGAGGGCCACAGATATATCAGATCACTTTCAAGTTGTAGCTACATTGAGAGAAAAAGGTAGATGGGATACAAGGATAAAGGAATAGAAGCATCAGGAAGAGAAGGTAAGGTTTATAAACTAAAAGAGGAGGCAGTTAGGGTAAGATATAACAGCTAATGGAGAAAGATGGGCAAATGAGAGCATAGGCACTGGGGTCGAAGAGGTATGGGTAGTTTAAAAATGTAGTGTAGAGTTTCAGCAGAAGTTTGTGGTACAGGAAAGTGGGTGCAGGAGGGGAAGAGGAGCGATTGGTGGAAAGATGATGTAAAAGAGAGTAAGAGGGAGATAAAGTTAGAGCAATAATGATGGAAGTTTTTACAAATAGCAGTGATGCACGGAGGAAGAGAATAAGGAGAAAAAAGAGAGAGGTTAGAGAGTGGTGAAGCATGTAAAAAGAGAGCAAAAGAGAGAGTGGGAGAGATGTTATCACACATTTTTGTTGAACATAAGAAAAGCTTTTTTTTTATTTTTAGGGGAGTGAGATTAACAGATAAGAAACCTAAGAGAACAACATGGATTTTGTCATTAAAATAGAGAGGAGAGTTATTAAATGGAGAGTTAGAGTATTGGGAAATGTAGGAATATATTGAGGAATTTTTCAATTTGATGAGATAGGGATAGCTGTGATTTTCGTGTTATAGACAAGAGGAATAACATCTTGTAGGAGTGAGGA